TGATTTCTCACTTTCTCTCTATCTCTCCGTCTTTCTGGAGAGCGCACTGCTAATAATGGAATATAAATTTAAAAAAGAAGGAAAATTCTATAACCTGGTCACTAAGTCCAACAACTGTTGGGAAAAAAAATAGAAACAGGAATAGGAATTGCGGTATTTGGAAATAAAGAGAAAATCTGTTCAAAACAGCTATGGAAAACAGCTGTTCTAGTTAAGGAACCCAACGAGAAACTGAGGTTTATTTTCCTCAGCTCCCAAGCAAGAGCTTTATGATTCCTTGAAACTTCATTTGGAGCCAAGCTATGTGATGTTGGCACTAACAAAAGGGCTTTTTGGCAGCTGCTCTGAAGAACAACCCTTCCTTGCCAACAGAATCTGATTGGTGAGAGGCTATTTCAACTTTAAAAAGCTTCAGCCTACCAGAGCTAAGACACCCTGCACAACACGGTACAGAAATAACACCAAGAAAATGTCCTTTCCCTAAAGCCTAGATTTTTTTTTTCCTCCACGGAGTCAAGACTGCCAATTCCACCCTACGGAACTTTCCCTTCACGTAAATTAACCCTACTTTGCCTCTTTCTTAATCACAAACCAACTTGCTTGAAACTTAATTTTAATTTAAAAAAAAAAATGAGTCCATTTGTAAAATTCCATAAACCATACTGTTGGAAAAGATATTCTCTAAAGATACTAAGTTTGTATATAAATAAAACCCAGCAAGAACCCCAGAAGCTCCTCAGCTTGGAGGGATAATGGGGGGGGGGGGGGGCCAGAGTACTGTCACTGAAAGCTGTAGAAAAATTCTCCTGGAAACAAATCACGAAGCACCAAACAACATAAACCTCTAATGTGGGGTCCTCTACTGCAAGTAGACAGATCACATTACATGATTAAATGAAAACATTCTTGGAATAAGTTCCAAATTCAAGTTCAAAGATCACAGTGTTTCAGAGACCAGAGAAAAAAAGATAAGTCTGTTGACCATACTGTGGTACAGAAGAAGTCAAATACCAATAAGTCAAATACCGATCAAACGTTGGGAAGGTGGAGAGAGGGAAAGGTAAGTCATGACTTAGAAAAACAGTAACTAAGGAAAAGATCCTAATGAAGAGCCCCAAAAGCAACCTCAAAAATATCCATAGGGTAAAATTAAAGACAGAGTTGCAAACGACCAAATTTCACTTGGTCAATTAACAAACAGTACTGAATGTTGTTGAAATAGTCAAAGATCTTTTTTTAGCTCTGCATAAAACACTGCAGTCAAACGACTTCATTCATTTCTACTCATTAAATTGGTGAAAGTTTCAAAGTTCACATTAGCAGAACTAATCTCGGATTACCCAACCAGATAACCTGTGGCATACTCGACCAACTACTGCGTTCTGGGAAAGACTTCAGCCAGGATATGGCAACTTGAAGGTATCCAGCATCCAAAACCCAACTTGCTTTAGCTATTAGTGGAGGTAAGACCCCTGCCAGGATATGGCCACCTCAACCCATGCTGTACAACAGGTGAAAGCAGTGCAGGGGCCCAGTGAAGACCTAACAATTGAAGATGTAATAATTGCATGAGTCCTGCTGACATGACATCAAAAGCTCTCCCAGGCATACCCCAGTGTCTTCTGCCTGGGCTGTTTTATTTCAACCGGTAAGTGGACAAATGTCCCTCCGTTACTTCAAGAGTAACCTAATCTCCTTCTAAAGTTAGAAGGTAATGGTCTTTTAATTACTACCTCGATTATTTCATGTGTCTTCACCCTATCAAGTGTAAGGTTACCAACGGCCAAATGATGATGAACCAAACCTGCACGAGCAGACAGAAGGGGCTGTACACCTTTCTGAAGATTCCCACGGGCTCGCCCTAAACGCTGGGGATTCCCTTCGGAACATTAAAAACGGACCTTCAGTAAGACACGCAAAGGCTAATTTTACAAATGCAATAGGCAGATACCCTTCCAGCAACCGATGCAGACAGAAGCGGATAAGAAAGGGGATTCTGACTAGATCGCTGAGACTGTAGGAGGAACTGGCTGGGGCCCCTGAAATTCACCCCGAACTAGTGATCTGCCTCTAACTTCTCTTCAGGAAACGGTTCAAAGTTATGAAACAGGTCGGAGCTGGACGGGCCAAAGCACATAATCCACGTCCAGGACCAGGTGCCAGCAGGGGACCCCAGCCCTCCGCCCTCTCGGTACGTACCAGGCTGGCGGCACTCGCTGGGCCCCACCCGCCGCCCGGGGCCTCCGCGGCGGCGCCCCCTCCGGCCGCCACCAGCGCTCTGCCAGGCAGCCTAGGCAGCAGGGCGCAGACAGCAGCAGGGCCCCGCGGGCGCGCCCCTTGCCCGGACGCGCCTCCAGCACCCATGCGGCGCCGCGCAGGGCCCCCCACGAGCTGCGCGCCACGCGCGAGGCCAGCATGGTCGTGCCACCGGGCCGGGGGTACCAAGGCAGCGAGATCTCAGCAGCCGGACACACCAGCGAGCTGCTTCTCCAAGCAGTCCCCGCAATACCGAGAAAGCTCAGCCGCCGCTGCCTCCATACTAGCTTTCAAACCCCAGCACGCTCCGCTTATACAGGTGGCCCAGAACCGCAAAGGGCGGACGCCTTCGCGACACTTTTGCGACACCGTCGCCGTAGGGCTTCCTAGTGCCCCCGGCGGCAGCGGGAGAGGCGCGCCGTTAGGACCGACCCCTGTGCTTTCGGAAGCGAAGGCTCCTCCCATAGCCGGGAGGCCAGGAGGCGGGGGAGGTGGAGGAAGGGCCTCGCAGGGCTGGGCGACCGCAGGACAGACGTGGCCGCAGGGCATAGGAACCATCTCACACCCTCCGAGGTCAGTGCCCCGCGGAAGGGCTCGGTCCGAGGTGTGTGCGACCCTCGCAGAAGTTTAACTGTTAATTCCGTATGCGATACAGAAGTAATAAATACCAGTTCTTTGAGTCTTTCCTTCGTGTCGAGCATTGAGTGAAGATGCCTATACCAAGAAGTAGGAGTGTTAGAACATGTTAGTAGCAATTACTAATCATCTTCTTGAAAACAGTTCTCACTGTATAGCCAGGCTATAGCACATTATTCCATGTAACCTTCCCAACTGCTCTAAGACAAGTTCCAATATTATTATACCTTTACTTTTATAGAGGGAATTTAGGCTTTAGAGAGGTTAAGAAACCTGCTTATTGTAAGAGTATCCCAAATCGTGTAGTAAAATCGTTATTTTCTTGTTTTTCACTTGAATATGAATTCAGAGAAAAAAACCTTAGAGGAAAAAAGATAAATCCTACATCGAAAATACAGTAAAATATCTTAAAATTAAGAAAGCCAACTTAAAAAACAAAAGCCAACTTTACTTGATATTACTGTTAAGTCTTCATAAAATACCAAAGTGTTTGACATTTGGCCTAAAGGACAATGATAGCTCCTAATATTTTCTTGAAGAGGTTTTGGCTTTAGAGCGGCTACTCCCCCACCCCACCCCCCATAAAGACAGAGACAGTGAAAGGAAAAGTGAAAAATCACTTCAAAGGGGAGATGGCCACATGGCAATCCCTTCCCCTCCATCCTCTTCCTAGGATCCACCAGGCATCCGTTTCAAGCCACTGGGTTGGGACTCTAACAGCTGTTGGCCATGTGGGAGTCCTATGACACAAGGACTCTCTCCTCTGCTGGCCCCAACAGCTCCTAATATTTTAAGACCACAGAAGATCCAGTTATTAGTCTTTGATCTCATGTTCTAGAATTTGACAGTTGTCAACAGTGAACAGGTTAACCTGGGATAAAGTACAGAGAAAAATGCAGAAACCCATGAAACAATTCCAGATATAAGATATTGGTGTACACACAGGAAATAATATTGGAGGCCCAGCTGTGGTGGCACAGGCAATAGGGGTGCTGCTGGGTGATGTTGGAGGCCACATGGGAAGGCTCTGGGTTTGCGTTCTGGGCCCACCTGAACACTGCCAGTGCACCCCAGGATGGGTGGCCGTAGGGCTCCGGAGAGTGTCATGGCATGACAGGCCTGTTGAGAGTACCTGTCTCTCTGTCTCTCTCATGGAGCACACTCACTCACGTCTGGTGTAGAGCAGGGCAGGGGACAGAAGAAACCAAAAAATTCCAGTTAGTAATTGGCTTATTTATTTATTAATGAATTATTTTTTATTTAACTGTATGTATTTATTTATTTTAATTTGACCGGAGAGGGACAGAGTGAGAGAGAGAGAGAAGGAAAGTGAGAAAGCAAGCCACCAGTTCTGGGACTGGAACCATATTTGGCCATGTGGGAGTCCGGCGCCCTTAACCACTATGCCACCTGCCGGCCCCCATAGTAATTGGTTTATAATAAGCTAATTTCCAGTTTTATAAAGTTCTGTAATAATTAATTTCCATCCAATAAAATTAAGTAAATATGCAGGGTCTTCAAAAAGTTTGTGGAAAATGCACACTTGAAAATTTTTACACCAAAATAAACTTGTGCTTTTTAAGGATTCTTTGTTTAACTGTATTTATTCATTCATTTATTTCAATTTGACCAGAGAGAGAGACATAGTGAAAGGGAAAGTGAGAAAGCAAGCCACCAGATCTGGCACTCGAACCCTGGTCACCCATGCCATGTGGGACTGTCCAGTGCCCTAACCACCATGCCACCTGCTGACCCAAACTTGTGCTTTAATTTCATTCTTCCAAACACTTTTTGAAGTCCCTTTGTGTGTGAGAACCTCATGTGTCTGAAGGGACTGGGAGTCCCTGTCACTGGATTTTTTTTTTTCCCAAATGGGAAATTAGCTTTTTTTTTTTTTAAATGGGGGGAAAAGTCATTAAAAAAAATAGCCTATTTCAAAACTATAAATAAAAATCCATGTGTAAATTCTAAGTTTCATGCTTACAATTGATTTTGAATTTTTATTTCCCCACTTTTTTTTTGTAGTCAGCATTGATATTTTTAAATAAGCAAAATTTACTAGTCACGTATGGTATCCCAGCTTTCTAGAGTGAGTCATATGAGTGTTAACACCAAAATTTACTGGTCAAGTATCTTCTGTAGTCAATCCTGTAAGTACTAGCATGAAAAGAAATGACTGTAAATAATTTACTTTGCTTAATTACCTTATTGACAGCATATTTGAGTTAGTACTTTGAAAGCATATATCTAACAATAGCCACTGATATCTATTGTGCAATTACAATGGAGCTAGGACCCTTTACCTCTGTGCCCTTTAATTAGTCCTTTGCTGAGAAGTAATGATAATAAAAATTCTTTC